ATAACGATTTGCAGATCCCACAACGACTCGTGAAACGAAGATAGGCTGCGATGAATCCTTCCGCTGAGTAGTCTGATGCGACCACGAGATGGACAGCTGAGGTGGCCATGCAGACAAATATTGCCAGCCAGCCCTTGTATGATTTGTGACCCCGCCCTTTCCATGACTTGAGTGACACTGGGCCGGCATAGTCGACTCCAGTATTGAGAAAGGCACGAGCGGGAGTGAGTCCAGCTGGTGGCAACTGGTCCATGAGCTGTTGAGCACGTGCTCCATATTGGCGGGTGCATGTTACGCACCTGTTAATGAAACAGCGTACTGGCGCCTGGCCTCCAAGTATCTAGTAGCTCCTGCTGAGCTGACTGAGCGTGAGTTGAGTGCATCCGAGGAGTGTTTGAAGATGAGCTTGTCCGATGCGTAGTTGAGCCAGTTGAGATTCCTTCGGAAGGATTACCTGATTTCTGCTCTCTGGGTTGATGTGAGCGACCTTGACCCGACTTCCAAATCTTAAGACCCATGGTGGGTGATCGATGAACGGAGTGACCTTGGTGAGAGGATGAGATCTAGTGAATCTCTCACCTCGTGGGATGGTCCTGAGTTTACCCTTGAAGTGAGCTCCCTGAGTGAGCTTGATCCAGACGATGCGGGGCCCTTCAAGATCACCAAGAATGAGCGGACAATAAAGAGACGAATTGGGAACTCTTCTGAGCCGCGATGAATCGTCGACAGATTGCGGTGACCCTGAGCAGACGGTTGAATGATGAAAACCTGTCGACGAGATCCCAGAGAGCGATTAGTTGAGCGTGCACATGAAGTAGAACTCCTAGTTTTTCCTCGAGGTCAACGTTGAGATCCTTTTCCAAAACGTGAGACGGCCATGATGGATTGTGATGCAGCCATGGTGGTCCTGTCCACCAGAGTTTGTTAGCTGCCAGTTTCGATGGTAACAGACCTCAAGAAGCGCAGTCTGCAGGATTCTCCTTCCCTGGTACCAATCTCCAATGAGCGTGCTGAGGGAGCTCCTGGATGAGTGATACCCGATTCTTCACGAATTCCTTCTACCTTGATGAGTGTGAACTGATCCAAGCGAGCGTAAATGATTGGTCCGGAGATATGTGGTGGCATTCGTGAGGTTGAGTTGATCCTGAACATACTTGACCAATTTGGCCAGGAGGAGAGCTACAGTGAGTTTTACGCGTGGGATTGTCCGCCTTTTGAGCAGTGCCACTTTGGTTTTTGAGCAAACTAGTGTGATCTGAGCTTCTTCATTTCTGTTGAAGAGCTTGAGGAAAACTGCGGCTAACATCGCCAGCTGTGGTGCATCGGAGAATCCGTGTATTTCCACGACGGAGTCCGTGAGCAGTCCTAGCCATCGAGGTATTGTAATCCTTGACAATTGCGTGAGTTCGTTCCTGAATTGCCCCCAGTACTTAGTAGTTGTCGAGGAAACTGGTTCATCCCATTGCAGTTTCTTGATCTAAAGGGATTGGAGCAAGTTTCTGGCGCGAATCACCACTGGTGTTAGAAACTTAAGTGGATCGAAGAGTTGAGCTATTTCCGATTGGGAGGTCAAGAACTCGAATATTCTATCTATCGGACAGGATAGAAACTGATCTGAGAAGGTTGCGAGCCCTATCTCTGCCAAGGATCTACTGTCAAGTCGCGAAAATATGAACCCGTGCATGTAGGGTCCGCGACCTACGCACTGCCCCCATCTGAGTTCTCAATAGGATGATTCTCTTCGGGATTGAGTCGGTTTCAGGCAGAGAGATTGAGAAGTGAAGTCCGTGCCTGGATGCCATGAAACACCCTAGATTTTGGTGATTCCTTGTCCTCAATGGATCGATGTTCTTGAGAGGTGCTGTCAGCTCTGAGCGAGTGGAGTAGAGCCGGGCTATCTGAATGCCATTTGGATAATGGGAGGCCGCCTGACAAACAAAATTGAGCCACCTGATGAGCTGTACGATGGAGTTCATCATCCGAATCAGCACTTCCCCAGATATAATCCACATATCGCCCTTTAATGAGCGGTTCCACTGCGAGGAGGTACTTCGACCCTTCGTCCTCGACAAGCCGAAGTAAGACACGCATTGAGAGAAAGGGAGCTGACTTCGTGCCATACGTGACTATGGTGAGTTGATATGTGGTGATATCTCCGTTTAAGTCGGTCCAGAGAATTTATTAGAGCGGCCAATCATCCGGATGTACTCGAATTTGACGGAACATCTTGGTGATGTCCCTCATGAAGATAAGTTTATGACGACGAGTGAAGAGGAGTATATCCACGATATCACTCTGAAGTTTTGCACCTGCGTGCATGATTTCGTTGAGTGAACGCCCTGAGCTGGTCTTGTTTGAGCCATTGAAAATGACCCTGAGCTTCGTCATCTCGCTGCATGCCTTGAGAACTCCTGAATCCAGAACTTGGTGAGTTGATCATTGAGTACCTCGTTTGGGACCACTACGTGAGATGTCGCCGTTTGAACTCTATCCAAACCGAAGTGAGTGACCTGAGCAGTTGGTGATAGTGGTCCGTTGGTGATGATTTCTGGTCGAATGAGTTGGCCATATGTCAGCACCAAGAAGGTCAATTGATGCTGGTTTGAGAAAATTGGGTTCTGCGAGCTCAAGTCCTTGGAGATGATCCCATGTGAGATCCCATCGCCGTCCAAGAGCATAGGCAGTGACTCTGAGCTGGAATTGAGAGTAAGTGGACTGTAAAATGAGCTCTACTTTGCCTAAAACTGGCTCAGATGGCATATCTTAAATTCCTGAGATTCGGAGCGAGGTCTTGGTTTTCATCAGTCAAGCTGACGAACGAGTTGATGCGAAATGCTGGAGATTTTCGATCCTGGGTCGATGAGTAAACGAACCTGGTGAACTGGTCAGTCTGGACATACTAAAAGAACAATGCTGATGTCGATCTCATCATTTTCAAATTTCTGTGTCATAATTTTACAAAACTCAATTCTTTTGTTTTTGGAATCTTCTGTGAGGAAATGATGGGTCGTAATTTTGTAAGGGTGTGACTTGAGGAAATTCTTCAATATTAATCTCAGTATCTCTCGGTTTAGTTTCAAAGTTGCCGCGGCTTTTTGTATCGAACCCGTTGGATTATTCTTGAAATGTTCTTCGATCTTGGCAATCGTAACTTCTGTTGTAACTGAGTGTGATGGACCAGGAAGGTCATGACGACGGTCCTCAAGAGTATAATACTTGATGAAATTATCAATTACTCTGGGAGAAAAAGTAATAAATACTTGAAAGTTTTAGTCAAAAGTGAGGTTATACGATGAAGTCAGATAAATTTTTTTTATTCTCACCTTCTGAGGGTGTTTTGACAGGCTACTTTTTTACTTCCAAATTTGGTACGTAAGCCTCTATATGCTTCAGTATAGTTGTTACCTCTAGTATAAAAGCACTTGATAAGATATACTTTTTCTTCGTTTGTAAGGTTACTCATTTTGAAGTACACGTAGTGCTTCTTGGAGTGTCTCAATAGTAACTGACAACACTCTACTATATATCTAATGCACCTAACCTTCCGGGAGTCAGTAGGAAGGGAAGACATGTGGGTATACTTTAGGCAACTTCCCGTTTGTCATCCTGTAGAAGCGTTCCAAGAATGCAGCTCTTGATTTATTAAGCCCCATGGTAACCTAGACGTTACGACGCCATTGTGAGAGGACAGTGAGCTGTTAGGAAAAAATCGAGAGAAGGGCGGAGCAAAAGCGAGAGTGAGCGCAATTCAAAGAGTAGAAGCGTTATTGATGAGCAGCCAAGGTCAAAAGAAAAAATAAGCCGTGAACAGTTAGGAAGCCAATGGAAAAAAACCCGGTGAGCAGTCCAAAGCACTACAAGAAAGAAATGGCTGAGCGGAATCAGTGGCGCGAAAGAAAAGTTCGGGAAAACCGTGAAAAAAATATAGAAACAATAGATATAATGCTACTTAGCCAAAGTGCACTACGTTGAGCTGGACCAGTTGAGAGCGCAGCAGACGGCTTGCGGTAAGTTGAGAAGTCCGTGAGTATGGTGCTGACTTGGATTCAAATAAGCCCGCGGTTAAGCTGGTCTGGATCTGCAGGTTGAGTACCGTAACCTCGGATGAATCTGGAGTCGAGTTTTGAGTGGAGCCGCCAGGTGAGCACCACTGCGTCAGATTTCGCATCACTCCCGAAAACCATGAAAAAAAAATCGAAAACCGAAAAACTATTCCACCAATTCGGCTCGAAGGACCAAAATGTTCGATGCCGGATCTAGGATTCTTGGAATATGTGATGGATGGGTGAGCTGTCGGTGGATTTTCGGAAATCGATGAGCAGGTCCAAAAGAAACACTGCACGCACGTGGTTTCTACAAAGCATTGCATTGCCACTTCAAGTCAAAAATTGCAAATAACGAGCTGAGCACTGAGAATAATAATTAATTAGCTGAACTATAATTGAGCCGTACAACAATTTGAGAGAAAGAATCCGAGATTCAAAAATGAGGAGATCAAAAGATATTCAGCGATGCGCACGTGTACACTATCGGAACGAACGTGAGGTTGACGTAAGAAGAGCGGCAGTGAGTGATGGTCGGTCGGGAAGGGCGAGTCGGTCCGTCAGGTGCTGCCACCGATCCCGTGGAATCCCGGTGAGTTGAACTGGGCATAGCGGCCTACGATAATCGACCGATTTCAAACACCCGGAAACAAAGAGAAATACAATTGCATCTCTGTATAAAATATCTCAGAACAATAAATAGATAATAAATTCTTATTATTCCTAGAGTATTTGATACGGAGATTAGACTGCAGTCAACTAGTAAAATTTACTTTAGGATCTTTTTTCTAGAGACAAATTGTAGCAATGTAGCGGAAATTATAGCCTGTAGACAAGAACGACAATTACAAGAAACTCTGTACAGAAATTTCACCACCTGTAGATCTACATCTTCTTGACATATTTACAAAATAAAAAACATTCAGTTGAAAACAATCTCACTGCAGAATTACCTACCTTTTTTCTGCTAAAATACTCCAGCCATGTCCCACAAGCATACAGAAACCCATCGACGGTGCATAGAGAACTCTCTCAGCAATAACAAAACCCACAGGGAAAAATAAATTCGATGCTGGTAGGAATGGCAATATCAAAAGTGCCAAGCTCATTATTATTATCACTGACACTTGACGATTACGTGTAAATACAGCGGTTGAAAGTAATCCAAATATCAAACTATGGGCGACCAGCGTCCATAAATTACGGACATCCAAGATATTCTCAATCAAGGGTATTGTACCCATTGTCCAATCACAGCACAAATCGCTTGGTAGAAATAAAAGACGTAAGTTAACAGCTGCTAAGTAGTTGTATGTGAGTTGCCTCGTTGGGGTCGATGCAACTGACGCTGGATTGTCAAATCTGCAATTAGAAACCAATTGAAGCAATGTAAAAATAGCATAAAACTGTTCAAGACCAGGGAGACAGTTCAATTAATTATTTTGTAGGAAATCTTCAATGAAAAATGTTTCTTGACATTTTTTACTAGAGATAATTAATGAACAGAAGTTTATCGATATTTGGGTTGGGATAATGATTCAATCATCTCAATCGTACCTATTTCAGGCCAAAATGTCGAATACCGTCTTTTAGTGCAGAAAAATTATTTAGAGAAAATGGCGTTGGTCATTGTGTGGCAAAAGTATTCATTACTGTATTGGCTACGTAAGCAGAAAAATTTAACATTTAACTCTAGTCTGGTCACCCTACGCGAGCCAGCAACTTTGGTCCCCCCTGCAAGAATATACCCCGGTGTTATTTGTTCTTGAACGTTGCTGAATCTACTGTGCACTTCCCGGGCATATTTAATTAATTTCTGATAAAGTTGTAATGGGCGTAACGGGCTACTTCATTTAACATGGGAAAAAAATTTTCTGTTGGAAATAATTCATTTTCTTTTGAAATTATAAACTTCAATTGAAAAAATGATTTATTTTTTTTATTTTTTCGGATTGTGACTAATCTAAGGTTGAATATAGTTAATTCATCAGTCTCATTTGAAACCATCCGGGCCCAAATAATAGATCTAGGGAAAAATGTTAGAAGATCCTTTTTTTTAGTCCAGCCCTACAAAAAGGTCTACAAAAAAAGTCTTCAGGATTTTTTCAAACATTCGTCTTTTTTTTCAAGCATTGCCCAATTGCTGAAAATTTTACATTTTCATATGATAAACTGATTGCACTCGTCAATCATAGAATTATCTTAGTAATGGTTGATTTTAAAACAAAGTATCAGAAGAACAACTTTTTCACAGTTCTGGCAATTTTGTCCAAAAAAGTTTTTTCATTTTTGTTCAACACTGACCTGTTTTCCAGATAATAAACAAATGTGGAGAAGCCAATATTTGTATCTTATTGAATTGTCACTGACTTGCTTTCAATATAAAACGTAACATCTATGAAAACATCCTATGTAGAATTCAAACATTTCCTAGAAGATTTTTCCTATAGGATTTCTTATAGGATGTCTTAGAGGATTTCTTATCAGGTCTTTCCTATTGGGTTTCCCACAGGATATCTTATAGAAGGTTCTATGGAATTTTCAGTAGGATTTAAGGTAGAAAGCTAGGTTTATAAGGGTTAGAATGAATGTCGAAATGGTCATATGAGGTCTTATGAAGGTTACATCGAGATCATTACAGGGTCATGTAGAGGTGATAAAAGTGTTATGCCCCAAAAGTGGAGCATAATTATCCAACTTATTTCACAATATGCCAATATAAGTGGCACACATTGTGAAATACAAATATAATATTAAGCAATTACTAAACAAATGGGAATATACGTGCAATCATGTATCACGTATATTCGCAATTAAAAGTAAGCCAGTGGAACTCGCATCAGCAGTTTCCACTGGGCTCATTCGCATGGTGTTATCATTACACCATACAGATATGAGGTAATGACCACGACATCATGGGCTCTCGATCAAATAAATACTCGAGAGACCATTGTCTCGGGGCCAGTAACTCGATTCCTATTGCGGTTCACCTGATACCTTCCGTATCAGTCTGAACACTTGAATGGTATCTAAAAAGTAAGAAATTAAATAAAGGATATTATTATAGTATTCGTTCGCGAGTGTTTTAATCTTCCAAATTACCGAACCCAACCGCTCGGCACTCTAACATTTTGGTGGCAGCGTTATTTATTTTTGGAAGAGGACGGAGGCCTGATCAACCATCGTCTTATCGCGCAGCGACGAAGAAAAAGTAATATTCACAAATCTTTCCACCCGGGGGAATACTGGCCGTTTCAACGCTTTCATCGAATTTCATTGGGAAATTGAGATGGCGACTTCAGGGAGCGATAATGGAAATCAGGAGGATTCTGAGTTCAACTCCCATACCATGTCAGCTCCTGGCGCAAGGAGGGCCTTGTTTGAGACCAGGGGTGAGGAGGGTAACGTTAATAATGTTAACTTACGTCGGGAATTTGTTCAGTCTGAACATTCTAGCATGCTAGCTGGGAATCATCGGATGAATGTACAAGCTGAGATTCACCAGCAGCAAAATGAGGTACCACTGGGGGGAGAAGCTGTAGCTGGACAAGGCACGCAGACTGCGCCTGGCCCTGTCAACCCTTCGGTGGGTCACCGTCATCCTGTGCATGTTGAGCCACAGGTAGGCTTGAATGATATTGAGGATTATTCAGGGAGTGAATCAGGGAACCATGATGACTATTCTACACCATCGGGCGCCTTTGCCGGCGGGGGTGGATTCAAGGCAAGTTCAACGCATCATGGCGAAAATGTTCTCCAGGGGTCGAGTTTGCGGCATGGTCCAGCCTATGACCGCCTGGTAGGGAGAATTCAGAGTCTCGAGGAGGCAAGGCTCAGGCTCCAGAGGGAAATGGACATCAGGGAGCAAAGGGTCGCCGAGGAGAGACAACGTCGGCTTGAGGCCGAAAAACAGAG